TCGTTTCTGCTTTGCCTTTGTGCCTTGTCTCAGTCTTGCTCCTGCCTCAGCCCAGCTCCTATGTTCCCTATTCCAGGTAAATCATCTGTTCTGACCTTTGCTTTGGATTTCTGGCTCTGATTCTAGCTTGACCCTGGGTTTTGGCATCTGGCTTCTTATTTTGACCCTTGCTTCCGTTTCCCTGCTCTACATGCCTGCTCTAACCATTAGACATGAGTCCTTCTCTGACAGCCAGGCAGGACTGCCCAAGTCCAGGTTTCTAACACTGTGTACTGGTCTGGTCAGCTGAGGGCAGCTCTAAATTATGGTGGTTGCCAATGGCTCTGAGGGGGGTCAGTGCTGCAAGAGAAATCTTGGTAATGCCCATTTCTCAACCCTTTATATTTCAATGAGGCTCACTGCCATTGGAGCTTTATATTTCAAGGAGCTTACTGCTCCTTAAGTTACTGACATGCTGGTTTTTAGACTACTTTGCACTGGAGTCACACCACAAGGCGGAGTATTGCAGAACTCTGGAATTATTCTGGAATTTAGGAAGCAGCAGGGTTAAATAAATTCTTATTTGAAATTCTTGATGTTTTCTCTGAATATATTTTCTAAAACAGATCAGCAACACTTGCAAATATTTTTCATGTATGGAAAAGCTATTTGAAATGTGTAATTTCCATAAATAGTGTGATATCCTGCAGAAGAGAAATGAATAATAAGGAATACTTTTGGACCCCAACAGCCAAAATCATAGCAGAGCTTCACATAAAAATAGCAGGAATTATAATACACTGGATCAAATGGGATCATCTGCTAAAAACTACTTGATAAAAGATTGCAATACACAAGCCACCTGTTATTTCAAAATATTTTTCGAAATAACGGAGTGTGCTATTTTGCCATTCCGGTAATCCTCGTTGCACGAGGAATAAGGAATGGCTTGAAATAGTGTGTTATTTCAAAATCTGGCACTGTGTAGACACACCAAATTTCAAAATAAGCTACTTCGAAATAGATTCAAAATAAGGTATCTTATTTCGAGTTTAGGGTGCTGTGTAGATGCACCACAAGTTCCTAGAGGTCTAGCTAAATTACATTATGTATTAGAGAGGTTGTTTGCTGGGGAGCAAAATAGTTGCTGGCGTCACTGGAACTAGTATATTCTGAAGGTGTTGTCCTGTAATATAGCAACAAGTAAGGCTGAAGACAGGGCTGTTCATACTTACTTATTAATTAAGCAGTAACAACATTAATAAAGTATTTATGACAATAACTCAGATTTTTACTTTCTCCTGCTTCACCTTGTTAAGGCTACATCTAAACTACAGCTTCTTCCTGACTTACGAACCAGTTACGGACCAAGCAATCGGTCGTAACTCGGTTCGTTCGTAAGTCAGACCCCATTGAGTTATACGTGACCACGCTGTTGGTAAGTGCGGATCACATTCGTAACTCAGGGTCCGCCATTTATGACAGTTTTGGTTGTAACTGCAAATGGTCGTAAGTCGACTGTTCAGAATTCGGGGACCGGCTGTACCCAGTTTGGTTGATAAAACTTATGTCGACACCGAAAAGCTGAAAAAACAAAAATGGCCGGAGGGTGTTAACACTTGCTCCCTTTGTGGACAGATCATGTCCACAGTGGGAACACTTTCATTGATAGTATGACCAATGCACTGTGGGTACATAGCCCACAGTGCCATGTTGTAGGAAGGCAGAGGTGATCCTTGTGCATCTTGGGATTCCATTAGAGTTTTTCCACAGCCGCCTCAGCTGCTGGGAGTAGCATCTAAATTACTTTGTGAACTCTTTGAGCTGAGGAATGAGTCACAAAGATGTCTGTACATACAAAAGAGAGTTTTCATTTCAGCCATCTGACATTCTCCAGTATCATTCATTATTTCATTCATTGTTTCTTTATGACAACTGTATTCATAGCCTCTAAGCCACCCTTCCCCTCCAGCACAGTTTAATTTCAAAAACTTTCTTCAACCAAAAGCATCATCTCTGCCATAATCTTACACATGTAAGTGGAAAAAATACACGGAATTAAACCAGGAATGAGCCTGTTAGAGACCAAGAGTTACGTAAAATAGATAATAGAAACTATGGTGGCTTCCCTCTGAAGATAGATACCAGTGAATAATGGTGCTAACGCGATAGAGATGTATAAAAACACCACATGATAGTTCCTATATACATGTACTAAAAGAACAGAATACATAAGACATAGTGCTGATTTGGGTTTCTTCTGCTCTTGGTAATTTTGTGGCAGCTCTAAGTCCTACAGGACTGTACTCTGAAAGTTAGGTCTCTATAATATCAGGTGCAATATTCTTATTATTCCAATTCACTCTTATTTGCAATGCAATGTTAAAAAAAACTGTAATGGCCCAGTCCTGTAGTTAGTACACGTGCAAAACTCTCGTTGAAGTTAATGGAAGTTTTGTTCAGACCCTTTATTATGGCAGTTGTGTATAAATAGCCAGTAAGTCTCCCATGCTGGAATTGATCTGAAGCTGTTTCTTACATGCTCTGTACCACTAAGAAGATTTTCAACTAGCTCTAAGGGTATGTCTACACTGCAATGTCTACTCCATGTCTTTTGAACGTGTCTGCTATTGTGAAATATAGCGGATGCACTATTTCAGCATCCTTTGTAAACCTTGTTGCACAAGGGATAAGGGATGTCTCAAAATAGTGTTTTATTTCAAAATTTGGTGCTGTGTAGATGTTCCAAATTTCAAAATAGCCTATTTCGAAAAAGAATAAAAATAAGATACGCAATCTCATATCTTAGCTTGTATCTTAGTTCGAGCTAAGGGTGCAATTCATGCACATTTTAAATCCAGTCTTACAGTTAATTTTGAGATGGATTTTGGTGTTTAAAGACCTCTGGCTTCACTTTCTCAATGAGAGCAGGATTTTCCAGGGTGTTTAAATAATTAGTTGGCTGAAACTTTTCCTGTTGAAAAATGAGGCTTCACTGAAAACAATGAATTTCTGTAGGAAAATATCACTTTTGTTGGGTTTTTTTTTGTTCTATTTTTGTTGGGGAAATTGAAATTTTATTCCAGTTTTGAAAAAACAAAAGAATTTGAAAATTTTGCCTCCCCCATATTCCTTACCTCTACTTTTTAGTCAGTGAGTACGATAACAGGAATAATGTTCAAGGATCTCCTCCCACACTTTTTCATTTTTTCCTGTTTTCCTTCTCCTCCCACCCCTTCTAACTTTTCAGAGCTTCTCCAACGTGGTTACTTTTGAAAATTTAGAATTTCACTTTTTTGCTTGACACTGGAAAGTTTTGAAAAGTTAGAGTGGAAAAAAGGCAGTGTGTGTGTGAATAGGACTGGATGATTCCTGGGCATTATATGTTTTATTGCATTAAGTCATAAACAAGAAAAAAAGAAGAGAAAGTTTATGTGTGAGGAGGAATACCCTAAAATGGGGAAAAGTTAGTTTTCAATAGCCAAAATGAAATTGAAATAAAAATCATGTCATCCAGAAAATTTCCTGAAAAATCAAATGAAAAAATTAACATGAAACAATGTTTTTTTCCTACCATTTCTAATAGAGATTATCTATTGGAGCTTCTTTCTCCCTCCATTTTGTCCCAAGACAATCTTAAAATGATCCAAGAAAAGATTTTTGGGTAAACAAAGAGTTGGTTGAGAATGTACAGATCTGTAATATCATACTTTAAATTGTCAATTCTTCTGTAATGCTCCTGTTTTAAGTGAGCTACTTTAGCTACTTCTGTAATGCTCCTGTTTTAAGTGAGCTACGTGTCCTCTGTGTTCTAAGGGAAGTAATTGGAACATTCTGTCTGGCCCACTGCTATACAAACACGTTAAGTACTTTTCACTCTGGAAGAAGAATGTACTAGTGAACTTGATATCACATAAACTATTGAAATATTTTGGTGCACTAAGTGTACTTTTTTAGTTATTACAATTTCATGCTGTTCTGAATCATTATTATCAACATATGCAGGAACTTTGGAAAGGCCATATCTTAAAAAAATAAAAATAAAAACAATTTACAGCCTCCGTGAAATGTGTTTTATAAAAGAACAACAGTTCAAAAAAATGTGCTGTGCTTTGAGTGACATTTTATATGATTGCAGGTTTGCAGAGAATACGAAATTTCCACATATCAAAGATAAGAATAGTTCTGACAGCCTCTGGTACCAGTCATCATTAAGGAAAAATTATTTTCCTTCTGCAACAGTGGAGACACTTGTTTATCAACCTATAGCAATATACATTTTAAATAATAATACATTAATATTGGAAAGCTGATTTCTGATCATATAAACAATGAACTCCATATTTGAATCTGCAAAAAGGAAAAAAGGAATTTGCAGTATCTAGTTGTACTTTCTACAACTGATGAGTTATAACTACAGGAAACTCAAATATCACGTGGAGTGTCTCTGCTTTGATTGCTCAAATCCAAAACAAAATTTCTGGCATTATAGTTACAAAGAAACTGCTTTTCAGTCTGATCAATTGTATGTTATTTAACAACAGCAGCGTTTCTGGATACTTTACTTCCTTCATTTAAATATGAGAAATAGCTTTAAAATCCTGAAAAACTTGGGATAAGAGTGTGTGTGTGTGTGTGTGTGTGTGTGTGTGTGGCGGGGGGAGGGAGGGGGTTAAACTATGAATTCTGTAACAGACCTGATAATTTCCTGTCCACTGTGATTTTTAGCTGACAAAGTCACAACAAATCTCTTTGCATCACCTGGGAAATGTCATGAACAGAGAAGAAAGATACAGGAGCATCCCTGTGTACGTCAAGCAGGGGGACTGTCGGGGCAAGCTCCTACGGGACACTTGAGAAGTTTAGTTCACGGCTATCTGAGTAGCGCAGTCCTGGCAAAAACATAACTTGCCTGGGCTCACCCCGAGAGGGGGGGCGGTGAGCAATGCTGCGAGCCGCCCCCCTCCGATGGAGCCGTGGCAGGCGAGGGGACACCGGAGAAACTTGCTTAAAAAGCTTACCTGCCCCTCCCACAAGTTTCGGCGCGGAATGCGCGCAGGAGGCAAATCAGCGCCCCCCCTTCCAGCCGCCGGGTCGCGTCGCTGCAGAGCCGCGCCTCGCAGCCCCTGAGCGGAGTGGAAGAGCTGTGGGACGGGCGCGAGCCTCCCAGGCATTTATCAACCAGCTGGCGGGGGAAAGGGGGGGGGGGACGGATTTTGCAAGAGGTCCCCAGTGAGGAGGGAGAGTTTCCCGGCAGAGCCCCCGGGAAAAGCCCGCGGTTTGCAGGGCGCTGAGGTCACAGGTGCCGCGCGCCAGAGCCCTGGCGGGGCTCCCGCCGCGGGGGCGCCCGCAGCTGCACGCGCCAGGGGCACAGCGCTGCCGGAGCCCCGGCCAGGGGGGCAGCGCGTTGCTCTGGCTGATGGCGGCTGTTCGGCAGCGCGGGGGCGCCAGGGGCGGAGCGGCCCTGAAAGTGGCCGAATTGGTGCCAAGGCGGAGGCTCTGCCTGAGCCCACAGCAGGGCAAGTGCAGCAGTGCCCTCGAAACTCCCTGGGCCCTACCCACAGCACCCCTGCACCTGGCACAGCGGGGATGGGGGGGACGTGAGCCTTTAAAAATAAGGGTGGGCAGAGAGGATGGTTTGGAGAGGCCACTCCAGGCCCTGCCCTTTTTGGGGGGGGGGGGGGAACTAGGGTGGCTCCCTCAACCATCCTATGGACAGGTGCCAGGCAGTGTCCCCTTTACATTTTTCCATCCATGTGCAGAATAAATTTTATATGTGCACCAAGGTATGTGCAGATGTGCACCACCAGTAGAAACATGCTGTTGGCTATAAGTGCTCTGGTAATTAACTGGATGGCATTTGAATCTCTCCTGGGTGCCTGCCCAAGTGCTCTGCTTACCAGGAACCTGATTCCAGCATGGCCCAAGGGGTAATCTGAAGGGCAGAGTTGGCGGAGGTTGGCAGGGTTGGCTCCCCCCATACACACTCACCAAGGTAGTGGGAGCTGGAGCGGCCCAGCAGCCTACTCAGCCCCACCTTGCTACCCTCTCCCGGACCACTGTGGTTACCTTCACTGTGGCATTTCTGCAGAGAAGCAGTGCACAGCAGGCTGGATGAGGGCAGCAGGCTGGAGAGGAGCAGGTTGCTGGGTACCTCCAGCTCCCGCTGTGGTGAGTGTGGGAAGGGGGCTGACCCCCCTCCCTCTGCCTGTAATTTCCTGGCTGATGTTGCTTGCGGGAGGGGACTTTGGCAAGGGGGAGGAGCAGGTATAGGTCTTGGGGAAAAGGGTGGGGTGGTGATGGGGTCTGTGCTTGGGATATGGTGGGGCAGTTGCCCCAGGTCCTGGCTCCCCTACAGAGAGCCCAGAGGGTGGACCTAAGATGGGGTCCCCAGAGCACTCTCCCCAAACTCAGCAGAGTTACTTACAGTGTAAGCCCTTCAGTGGCAGGCTCTGTAGTTTATCCCTCCTCCCATATAAGGGTGAAGCCTTTTATTTTTTCTCTGTACTTTCCTTTGTGCTTTCTGGCAAAGTATTAGAGCAGAACTGAGTTGTTGGGCTGTGAACACATGCCAGTGATTTTGACATGGATGGAATTTCCCAGTTATTACTATATGAAAACTCCAGAAAGTTGGCTGGCTTTGGTCCGTTTCTTAACCAATGATTTATTTGTAAAACTCCAAATTGGAATGGGTGTGCAGTGCAAATGTCCTAAAGCTGCAGACACAGGGAAACAACATTTTGTAATGTGTCTAACAAATGATGAAGACAAATATACAGAGAAGGGGAAGTTTCAAATGTTAAAAGCCAGGGAACAGCTCATTCTTTTGGAGAGAGGGCAACTTTTCTAGCTACAGTCATCTGAACAAATCACTGGTCTTGCCCAACCTGGTCATTGACCCAGAACATAAAGTGTGTCACTGTTCTCTTTTGAGAAAGTACAGTATTTAAGAGATAAGGGAAAGATCTGAAGGAAACCATTTTTGTTTGGTCAGAATGACACTACACAATAATAAGGGAATGGCCACCAATGATATTTGAGTACATACTTATTTGCTATAGTAAGTACTTTGAAGCAGTGCATTATGCTCAATTAGCTATCTTGGGATTCACTAGACTAGCATAGCATTATCACTAAGTCAAATGAAAGAAAATAGAAAATAGAAAATGTCTGATTTATTTCATAAAGATGGCTGAACAGATGGTAAATCCCATGCACTGTTGTCAGCCTCTGCCAGACTTGACTACTAGCTTAGAGGTGTCCTAACACATCTATCCTATCTTGTCTTCTCCTGAAGTTTATTCAGCAAAGTCCACAAGGTGTTTTCTCCTCCTCTTTTTCCCATTATTTGGATTTATGTCAGTTCCACAAAGCAATGCTATTATGTTATGTCATCATGGGTTATTTTATGGAACAACAAATCTCATCCTGGTTTTGATGCCTGCCCATTAGCTTTTTTCTTCATAATTTTCTGAAACCAGCTCACTTGTGAGGATGCAAATATCAGAGATTTTTTTAACTGTATTATGATAGTTATATTGGAGGAGGAGGAACTTTATAAGTTCTCAGAAATGTGTATTTGTGCTGCTGTCACCACAGTTGTTATTTTATGCAGTATATTTGGCAGCTTTGAAGCTAAAATATAATGGCTGAACTTAAGCTGCAGTAAAAATATTAATTACACTGTGAGCAGGATATATAATGAAAACCAGACCAAGTAATCAAACGAGAGATCTTGCTCTCTGTTGTAATTCATCCATTAATTTTCAGTACTTTCCCTCTTGGTGTGAATTTCTGATACTAAGGCGTTAAAGGCTGAAGTTTCATGGAGTAGTTTAAAAACATCCTTTTCAGAAGCCAGTTCTCCATGACCGCATATGTTTTACATTTCCCTTTCTTATGTTTACTGTTTTAATCACAAACATAATTTTCAGCTGAGGAATAAGTAGTAGGAACAAATCAAGATATAGGCTGTAATTCTAACATAATGCCTGTGATGTCATAGAGATATGCCAATTGTTATATGATGTTATGTTAGTGATAGCACAATTAATTGCAGAGCCATAATGTAATGCATAGGGGTATGTCTACACTACAAAGTTAATTCGAACTAACAAACGTTAGTTCGAATTAACTTTGATAGGTGCTACACATACAAACCGCTAGTTCGAACTTAATGAGAACTAGCGGAGCGCTTAATTCGAACTAGGTAAACCTCATTCTATGAGGACTAACGCCTAGTTCAAATTAAGTAGTTCGAATTAAGGGCTGTGTAGCCACTTAATTTGAACTAGTGGGAGGCTAGCCCTCCCCCGCTTTCCCTGGTGGCCACTCTGGGCACCACCAGGGAAACTCTTCTGCCCCCCTCCCGGCCCCGGAGCCCTTAAAGGGGCACAGTCTGGCTA